CATAATAAGAATAGCCGCTACAGGAAAGGAAATAGATAAAAGAAAAACAGGTATTAACACAATATGAACAGTTTGTGAACAATAGTTCCTTCATTATGAATACATTCAAAAGCGAGCCAATGGTGAAATATGCAACTAGTATACATATGAACATATATATGAACAATAGTTCCTTCATTATGAACTGTAACGCCCTCAGAACCCCGTAGCAATGATATTGTCCGCTTTGACTAATTAACCTGCCCGCTTAACCACAAAGCAGTAGCCGCACGGTTTTGTTTCTGGCAGCCGCACAACGCAAGCCCCAAAACGCGTCATGCTAGGATGAGGTATCCACACCCTTATAAGGAGTGCTTTGTTCACCTCACCAACCGATGTGGGACGGGATGTTACATGAACACATTCAAGAGCGAGCCAATGTTGATATATGCAGTTAGTGTACATATGAACACAATTTGAACAGTTTGTGAACAATAGTTCTTTCATTATTATGAACACATTCAGGAGCGAGCCAATATTGAGATATGCAGCTACTGTACATATAACACAATATGAACACTTGTGAACACATTTTAACATTCTCATTGTTGTCGAGTTGTTTTCCAATGAGTTTATACATATTAGCTAGAACGATATCGAAAACTTTACTATCGGGTCTCCTTTAACAATCACAAATCAAGAACATTATAAATAGATAAATCAATATTATAGAAAAACAAGATCAATAATAAATCAACAACAATTATGAGATTTTTTGATTTTGCAACTCCCAATTAATGATATGGGAGTTACATACAAACTAAAATTACATATTTACCCTTGTCATTAAATTATGAGATGGATATGAACCTAGATAAATTAAAGATGGATTTTCATTGGTTGAGCTTGGTTAACAAAGTTAACACAATAATCTTGGTTAACATTTGAACTAAGCGTGCTCTCTCTCTCTCTCTCTCTCTATATATATATATATATATATATGTAATAACTAACCTGAATATCCAACCCGCTATACGAGATGACTAATCCCAGAACGACCACTTGTTTGCAGATAATCCGAAGTCACCACATTTTGACCTCCATGGTCACAAGGAGATTTTTATTCCTCCGTAGCCACAATGTGTATATATTTATGGCTATATAGTGGGTAAATGTACACAAATTCTGTTTGTAGAGTACTTGCACTAGCTAAAACCTAATATTATTCATACGGGTTTGAATATAATCATATATCATCTGTAAAAATTTATTTTTGCATATGCTCGATTATCAAGGTACCGTTTATCAAAAGCTTATCAGGTAAACACATACTGGCAAGAGATTTCATTATCACTTACCAGGGATGGACCCATAAATTTTTTCAAACAGTGACACCGTTTGACTATACGAAAAAACTATAAGGAAAAAGTTTCAAACGACAACACCGTTTCACTATAAAAAACAAATATACGGAATTTTTTTCAATCAGTGGCACCATTTAATTAAGAAAATGACAATACACGATTGGAACTTGGGTTTGGGGTGGAATAAAAGTCTTGCAAACCAACACTGTCAAATAAAACTTGTTCTCATTGTAGTTTTAAAATATATACGGTGACACACAACAGATAAATACGGTTGCATCTTTCACGAACCTAAAATTTTGTACCCTTCGACAGAGGAATAATATGGTGGCACGTAAAGTAGGTCCGTCCCTGTCACTTACCTTCTTGTGTGTCACATTATCGGTCATCAAAATGAATTACTTGTTGGTAAGCGTCTTAATCATTTCCTTCACTTATAGGGGTAAGACTCTCGGATTTTATCATGTTCAATGAGTAAGGTAAATGATATCGGTAAAAGCTTATCTAATAAGCGTCTAGTAAACGACGGGTATATCAAAACTCTTGGCTCTAGGGATGGTAAAGAAGAGATGGCGGAGCATCCAATAGCTTTTCCATATATAATTGATTAATTTCTATAGAAAATAAAGTAGTAAAATTCAAATTCTCCAAATATATATATATATATATATATATATATATATATATATATAACC